CGGCTCTGGGGGCAAATACAACGGCAATCGTGGCAAGAATCGACAGCGCCAAAACCGCCAAGACAGCTCTGGTGATGACTACCACCGTGGCAAGTCCCACGAGGGCTAACGTCGCCAGGACGACTAGAATGACGATGGTGAAGCCGATGGTAACCGTCGTAAGGTGTTTCGCCAAGAGCGCCGCGAGTCTGGCCTCATTGCAGTTGCCACCCCCATCAACCCGCCTCTGAGTCTTACAGCCAACGTTGATATGGACACTACGTGGACCATTGACGCTGCGTGTACGCATCATGTGACGCATGAAGCCCAGTGGTTCTCCAGCATCTCTGCGAGTGGTGGATCTATCACTGTCGGCGGAAAGAACAACATCCCGATTGAGAATATTGGACGAGTTGAGCTGGACGTCATCGACACCAAAGGCAACATGAAGAAGCTCTCCCTTCATGGCGTCCAAGCACGTAAGCCGTAGAAGAAGACTAAGGCCAAGCCGCTGAACCAACGTGAGTGCCGTCGCCAGGAAGCCAAGACCAATACATTTCTGATGAAAACCATGGACAACACGCACGTTTGGCTGGTCAAGAATCTCGTCACGTCCTACGACATCTTCAGCTTCATTTGTGAGAAGTACGAGGGAGCCGTCTTTCACGGCGACCCTTACTTCCTCCAGCACTACCTGATCGAGATCAAGTACGAGGAGGGCTCTGATCTCACGGAGTTCTTCCTTAAACTTGAGAGTGCGATGAAAGCCGCGTCGGAAGCCACCGAATAGGTGATGACGGAGGGACAGAAGTCGATTTACCTGTTCCACTCCATGCCCAAGTCGTGGAAAGATAACCTCCGCATTTGGAAGGACCAACAGAAGTATATCCCGTATGAGGACATCAAGCAAGGAAAGATGCGGGACCTCCAAGCTCAAGAGCGCTACACTTTGGCAAAAGGCACACCGGAGACTGCAGCGACTAAGAATGAGCGTGATCTGGTTGCGGCAGAACCTCCTTGCACTCCGTCCGCCCACATCAACAGCCTCAACAATACCTGCTCGTACTGCGCCCGCCCGCGCCACAGTTTTCGCCACTGCAGAAGTCTACAGAAAGATTTAAGAGATGGACATGTGAAGGCTGGCACTGTACTTCCTGCGAACTTTGTCTTTAAAGGCAATGTAAATCGTGACCATCCGAACAACAAGGGCAAGAACAAGCGCAACGGAAACGGCTCTGGGGGCAAATACAACGGCAATCGTGGCAAGAATCGACAGCGCCAAAACCGCCAAGACAGCTCTGGTGATGACTACCACCGTGGCAAGTCCCACGAGGGCAAACGTCGCCAGGACGACTAGAATGACGATGGTGAAGCCGATGGTAACCGTCGTAAGATGTTTCGCCAAGAGCGCCGCGAGTCTGGCCTCATTGCAGTTGCCACCCCCATCAACCCGCCTCTGAGTCTTACAGCCAACGTTGATATGGACACTACGTGGACCATTGACGCTGCGTGTACGCATCATGTGACGCATGAAGCCCAGTGGTTCTCCAGCATCTCTGCGAGTGGTGGATCTATCACTGTCGGCGGAAAGAACAAAATCCCGATTGAGGGTATTGGACGAGTTGAGCTGGACGTCATCGACACCAAAGGCAATATGAATAAGCTCTCCCTTCATGGCGTCCTCTACGCCCCCTCCTTCCCAGTTGCACTTCAGCTTACTCTCGGTCCCTGCCGCCGTGAAGCACGACTTCCGCTTCAACTTCGATCGCAAGAAGTGCGTCGTGCAGACTGACCAGCGCTTTAACATAAAGGCGCCAATGCCGACCACCTCGGATCTGTATCAGTTCCAGGCCAAACCTTCGGCGAACGCATCGGCACTCATTGCTCCGTCGGGTAAGCAACGATCTCTTCTGCTTTTACACAAACGTCTTGTGCATCCTAACGTTCGCATCTTGCAGGTTCTATCTAAGAGCCAAGCCATCCGTGGACTCGACGGCACTGCCTCTGTAAACCGGAAGAGGCCCTTCTTCAGTACGGCGTGCACGCTAGCGAAGTCACACCGCTCACCATTCTATTCAAACAGCGTAGTTGAGCATGCGACAGCACCATGGTAAAAGGTCCATACAGGCATTTGTGGTCCTTTACCTGTGTCTAGCCTTACTGGTTGCCGTTACTTTGTGATCTTTATCGATGACTATTCCCGATTCATGTTCACCTACCCGATGAAAAACCGGAGTCAGGTTTATGAATGCTATGGAAATTTCAGAAAGAAAGCCCTAAATATTTTCAGACACAACATCAGTGTGCTTGAGTAGCGTCCGTGTGCTATCGAAGAAAACGACATCCAGGTTCTCCAAGCTGATAATTCCAAGGAATACGAAAAACTTGGGCGTGTAATTTCCAAGAAGTACGGCACTCACGCCCCAGTTCACAAACGCATACATTCCGCAACAGCATGGAGTTGCGGAACGTCGCATGAGAGCTATAATGGAACGGGTACGAGCCCTACGGCTTGACGGTAACCTTCCCAAGCAACGGTGGGCAGAGTGTGTCTGTCATGTTACGACACTAATCAGCATGACTCCTAGCTCAACGACCAACGGTCGTACACCGTATGAGCTCTGGTTCAACCGCATCCCATCCATGCAGTGCATGAAAGCATTTGGGTGTAGTGCATACGTTCATATTACAGAGCAATATCGCGACAAACTTGATGCTCGAGCACGGCTGTGCATGTACCTAGGCGTACCCGACCACAAGAAGTGCTATTCCTTGATGGATCTCAGCTCTCATGCCATTGTCTACAGCCGAGATGTCATCTTTAAGGAAGACGAATACCCCTCCCTGGCTAACCTGACTGATACACCAGAACAGACTACGATTGAGTCAGATCAGCTTGTCCACACGAAACCGATTGAGCCGACACCTGCAATGACATCACCTGCAGCTAATCACCAACTACCAACACTGAGGGGGGCACCTGACATGACACAAATACATTACTCGTTCCGAACAGAGACTTCATCTGAACCTCTATCGTCTCCTGCTCCTAAGCGACCCCATATCATGGCCATGACGAGGAATTTACCTTCAATTCCGAGGAAGATTTACAGGAGCAAGAGCAACGTAGAACACTGCTCTACACACTATTCGCTATCCGGTATGTGACCGATCCCACCACGTATCGAGCAGTCATGAAGTCGGCTCACGCTAATCGGTGGCGCAAAGCAGCAAAAGCGGAATATAGTTCCCACATGGACAACCGAACCTGGGTTCTGGAACCCCCTCCAAAGGGAAGGAACATTTTAATGTACCGATGGGACTTGGTTGTAAAATATACCGGCTCAGGTGAAATTGACCCCTTCAAAGGGCGTCTGGTGATTAAGGGATTCCTTCAGGAACATGGCATTGATTATAACGAGATTTTCTCACCTGATATCAGGATGGAGGTACTCAGACTCTTTCTTACCATTGCAGCTTTGCTCGATCTTGAAGTCCACCAAATGGACGTAGAGACATCATTTCTCAACGGAATGCTTGAGGAGCAGATCTACATGGCTCAACCGGAAGGGTTCAAAGTCCCGGCTAAGGAGCATCTCGTATGCAAACTCCTAAAGAGCCTGAACGGGTTGAAACAAGCTCCCCGTGCATGGTACAAAACGTTGTCTGCCTTCCTTGAAAGCATTGGGTTTCACAAGCTCATTAAGGGCAGCTGTGATTTCAAACGCACGGTTGACGGAGTTTAGTTACATGCTACATTGCTGTGTATATTGACGACCTCCTGATCATTGCGCCTACACCAGCCCTCGTAAACGAGCTGAAATCTGCCCTGAAAAAGCGGTTCTCCATGACATATTTAGAGGAGGTGAAGTACTTACTCGGCTGGTCTATTCAACGTGACCGTAAGAACCGAACGATATTTATTCACCAACCCAAGTACGCTACGAAGGTCCTTGACGGCTTCAGCGACTACATTCTGTACCCTATAGCAACCCCAGCAGAGCGGAACGTCAAACGTTCCGTAAGCAGCCAACCCAGCAGTGAGGCAGAGAAATATGCGATGAAAGATATTCCGTATCGCGAAGCCGTTGGGAGTATCATGCATCTTATGGTAGGCACCCGACCCGACATGACATTCTATATGCGTGAGGTCAGTCAATCCCTAGCTAATCCGGGAATGGACCACTGGAAAGCAGTCGTTAGAGGTCTGAAGTATATATCGGGAACGAAAGACTACGGTCTTCTTCTTGGTGGATCTCTTGATATCATACCCAAGAGCCTCGCCGACAAGCTAACTGCTTACAGTGACTCTGACTATGCCAACTGCTCCGACACGAGACGATCCCTCGATGGATATGTGACTTTGCTAGCCAGCAGTCCAATATCATGGCGTTCGCGCAAACACCACACTGTGGTTATCTCTACAACAGACGTAGAGTATATCGCCCTGTGCCACTGTATGCAAGAAATGATTTTCCTCAAACTGCTCCTCAAAGAGTTAGGCTTTACCACGACACAAACCAGCGTTATCCACGAGGACAGCCAAAGCTGCATCAAGATCTGCTATAACCCCGAATTACACGGAAGGTCGAAGCACATTCACGTTCAATACTGTTTGTGCAGGAAAAAGTCGAGCGGCACGAGTTTTCCGTCGCTTACTGCAATGTATGGTTGCTGATATGTTTATTAAAGCTCTAGACAAACATCAGTTCAGAGAACTAAGGGCTAAGCTCCGGATGAAGTCCCTTTAAGCTATACAATAAGCCATTTCGTACAGTGTACGATAATAACACTAATGCGTGAAGCATGCCTACTTACATTGCGCTCCTTTAGCTTTTGTCCCACTGGGTTTTATCTTTTGTTCGCACTAAGGTTTTCTCCTCGCTGAGGTTTCCCTGGTTTTGTACCGAATTATTATAGGCATATGCTTTTAACATCCATGCAGACACAATTTCGTTTTGCTGGGACCATTCATTATTGATAAGGCAAGCCCGCGGAAATCCCTACCGACTCCTATCCATCTACTTCTTCTTGAAGACAATGAAAAAACGAATGCAGGCCACAAAGGTGATCCAATCCATCACCGACGACACTGGCTTGAGATCCTTCAAGTCAAAATTCCGCCGGATCTTGCCCTTCTTTCCTTGAGCTCTGAGCACGAACGCGTGTCCAACGAGGCTGTGGTTGTACGCAACAACGAAGTAAAGTCCGTCGTGGAGAGGCACTTCCTCCAGTATGCGTGATCCACGGCGTCCAGCTATGGTGAAGCTGTCTGTGTCGATTGCCTTGAAGATAAAATCACGGCCAGCATCCCTAAGTCGACGCAGGAACCAAAGGACTATCTTCCACGAAGTACCCCGTGTGAGGTACACTCCACGCTCTCGGAGTTCATCAGCAACGAATGTATCAATATCATCTTGCGTCACGATTTCCGGTCGCCCAGCAAGCTCGACAGCACGCTTCAATGCACTGAACATGCATATGCCTCGAGCATCAGCACCAATTGCGCGCTTGCCGTATTCGTCCTCAGGCCAGAAGTCCTTAAACTTTTCCACATCGGAAGCCGTATTGCTCCGTCGCCCGCGCATCATGCTCTCCTGGCGAGGCTCCATCGACCGCGTTATCACGCTATCGTGCAATCGCGGTGTGGTAATGATGTCTACGGTATTGTGCTCGCGTAGTGCATCAGCGTTGCCCGTGCTATCGGGTTCTACAATTGCATCGTGCTCCACGGTGTGCAATCGTGGCCACCCCAAGCGCCCCCCGTGTGCTTCGTGGCTGGTCCGCCGTCCGTGCAATCCTGTTTTCATGTCCTCCTGTCCTCCGTGGCTTGGTAAGCTCAGGTTCTACACTGGTATGATGCTCCGTGGCTCGATGATCTCCCGTCTATAGCTCCCATGGCTGCTTGGTTCTCCATGGTTAAGTGGTTGGGCCACCGTCCATGCTAGTGTGTTCTCCGTAGTCTCGTGGCTGGTCTGCCGTCTGTGCAGGCAGGTTCTAATGTAGTATCGTCCTCCGTGGCTTGGGGAGCTCAGAATCTACACTGGTATCGCTCTCCGCGGCTTGGAGATTCCCCGTCTATAGATCGGCGGCTGAGCTCTCCCATTGTTTAGTGGCACCTTCCATGTTATCGTGTTATCTTGTGGTGTCGCGGTTGGTCTGTCGTCTGTGCGATCCTTAGCTCCGTTGCTCTACCGTGGCGGTATGGAATACTTCCTTTTCGGTCACTCTACGTATTCTTCCGTGGCTTCACACGCGTGTGCTCTTCCGTGGCCCGTGCTTCTTCGCATGTAAGGTGTCATTATTGTAGCCCGCATCCGCTTCCTTCATTTCGTGTCCTTCCATGTTTTTCATGCCTGCGAGTTTGCTTCCGTGGTTCGTGGTTCGCATAAGATGTTGTGGCCTGAATTGGTTCCATCCCCTTTTATCGTCCGCAGCCTTCCGTGCTTTGTGTTGTTCATTGATTCCCATCGTGTACATAGTCCGACTCAGTGTTCCACCGCGTTTCGTGTTCTTGCTTAATCACGTGCCTCCGTGCGAGTTCTATCACCAGAGGCTGAAAAAAAATGTTATTATATTTTTGTTTTCAAGCTCAGTAATATACATTGAAATACAGGACTAATCAATAATATGGTATTTTGACCGATAATTGCAATAGATACATTAGCCCCAGTTTGATGTATACTTAAATTTTGTAACTCATTAAGTATTGCAGAATAGTTTACGTATTTATAAATTATTGGAAGGGAGAAGGAGCAATAATATGCTATTCCGTACAAAAATGCAATAGTTTTTTTACTGATATTATTTTTCCAACATCTGTCAATCACAAACCCTGTTTCCAGTGCGTTTGATGTGCACAACGTATCGTTTTCGAAAGGGCGCACCCTACGTGCGCAAATACAAAAGAAGGCGTTTTTTTTTCGCGCAGGCTAGTGGTGTTTGTGGGACCACTACAGTAATATTTTAATAATTTCGACAACTATATATTAGTAATAGCGCTATGTATTTTTATCTAGCGCTGAAATAATGAGTACGTGTACTACTACTACTACAATTAACTGCAAGCAAAAATTTGAAATGTACTTAGAATAGGTCTACGCAAAACAGTATTGTAAGTTAAATTATTACAGAAGTACTACGAAGCTTAAAACATTATATTTGCTAGCCATAAATACTAAGATGACTATTTAAAACAAAATGTGCGTCACCAGGTCCTACAAATTTTACTACCGGCTCATACGAACATTCAATACGTGTGTGCACATTAGCGAAGTCTACCAATGCAAACTAACCTGCACACAGGCGGCGCCCTTTGCGTGGCCTGGCGAACCGCAGCTGAAAATGGGGCAAAATGAAATTTGAGCGGTGCTTTTAAGTACGATATGTAGACCACATATAATGTGAACACAACATAATGCGATTTTAGCCAATTCTGGCCGCCCTCGCTGCGCTCGGCAGCCAGTAGAACGCCCGTATTTGCGTTACATTTTAGAGCCCTACCTCGGACGGACTTACAGACAGACACCACACTCCACTGGGGGGGGGGGGTGATTAATCATTTTGGCTCTTTTTCGATTTATCATTTCTTGGTTTCATGAAAACGCAACGATGGCACGTGTTTGAGCAATCAAAACCTAACCATTTATAGAGCAAACCGTGTGATCGACATCACTGAATATAAACTTTTCTACATGTAAAATGTATTAATACATGTAATTCTGAGTGCATTTTATAGAAAAAGAACGCTATTGAATACAACGCGCTGTAGTAGACATTCTATAATTCTATAATTTCTACAGAATCCTTTCAGCTCAATTTCTAAGCCCATCGTATTGAAAAGTACCCTAGAAGTCTAGAACTTCTTAGGATCAGATCAGCTAATAACTCGCTACCATTTAACTACGAGCATTCTCAATTTTGCTGTCATGCCGCCACAGCGCAAGGGATTTGATATCAGTTTCGAACAGCGAGCGATATAATAAAGGTGGTGGTGTTCCATCGCGTGCCAAAAAGTACTTTCGTCAGTGAGTTGGCGTATAAGCGAGTCATGCTTCCTGCAATGGTGGCGGCACCAAGAGCAAATTCGTGCCGAAGCTCCATCTCTCTATCGCATCATCGGTGGTGGCCGCAAGGCACTGCTTGGGGCTATTGAGGACGAGCTCATGGATTTAATCTACGACAAGAGATTAAAGAAAGAGAGCTAGGTAACTGACTACAGAGCGAAGATACTTACAGTTTTAGCGCATAGAAATAACGGGTTTGATGGGATTTGAACCCGCGACAACCCTGCTCTCCCATGGGGCGCGAGCTGTCGCAAAAACAACGCATTCGTATACAACGCCGTAATTCCCATAGACCGCGCTCTATCGTAATAGTAGATGGCGTATTGCTCCGTATTATACGTTAATACAAATATTTATGAACTTAAGAAAATTGTAATATTGTGAAAGCCGATTAGTTTGTCTAATTGAATTACAAATCCGCCGATTTATAGTCTAAATAAGATCCCAAGCGTCTTATAATAGTTTATTTAGTTAGGCTTGCAGCAAATTACTGATGATTGTTGTGCTGTTTATGAGATTGAAAACATAGGCCGATTCATTTATAAATCACTTCGCCGCCAGATTTAGAAACAAATCGGTCGGTTTGTCCGATCCCTAGACGGCATTCCGAGTCTAGCACAACTAAATTCGACAACAAATTGAACAATGACTCTAGTGTGTGTATCTGTTAAAATAGGAAGCATCACCAAGACCAGTCGAACAAACGTCAGCATCGAGGAGCCAAACTTTACATTTGACGAAGATAACGAGCTGTTCGAAGACCTACAGATTAAAGTTGAAAGGATTGGTATTCCTGCTCTGCGGTTATACAAAGTCAAAACCACGCGAGACGACACAGCAATGTACTTGAAGCCAAGTCTAGGGGCCAAGCAGGCAGAGTGGGTTGCGCTGACACCTGGAAACTGGAAGCACTATATAGATATTGCAAGAGGTCATCACCAGAAGTACAGGACAAACAAAGGCCCCTTTGTTGTAAAGCTGTTTGTATTTGCTGCAAAAGAGACAACTACTCAGGCTGCAGGAATACGGAGGGCGACAGTGTCAAGAATCCAAGACGCTGCCCGTGCAATTGATGGCTATCTATTGGAGCGTGGCGACGTCCAAGTCGGACCTATTGCCCGTACTTATTGGGAGACCACCCATGCCGGACAGCCTGAAGGTACAGCCCCATCCGTACCGGATAATGCAACTTTTCGCCAGATGCAGCATCTCGACTCAATGTGACCTTTGCCAACGCCTACAAGAACCGAGAGCAACCTGCAAACGATCACTGTACAGCTGAATGGCTCGTCAGATCTACAGCTTTCGTTTAACGTGCGTAAACTACGAACCATGCTTGGCTTACCGAATCACAACCTACTAGCTGAAGGGGTATTCTCCTCATTCGACGTCCCAGCTGAACCGACCGAAGATATGGTCGACGAAGACCATATTATAGAAGAAGAGTAAAGGGAGCCATAACAGCCATATCAAAGGCAAATACACGCGTATATTGGTTTTTTTATCTCGCTTCGCTCGAACTCTCCCACCCACCCCACCAAGCTCCTCCCATCCGCCGCGGTCCTACTGAAATAAATCTAGCTCTCGCTCGAAGGCAGCCTCGTTTAAACCACCTTCATCGTATCCGCAATGTCTGAACAGACCTGTACCTCCACCATCTTCGTCCTTCGTGCATCTTGGCATAGCAACTTTTAATACCCTTTCAGGGTACAGACCAAACGCCAAATTCGCATGTCGAGCTAACCACCTCTTCAACTGCCCGAATAACACTTCGATCGGATTGAATTGGGGGCAGTAAGGCGGTAACAACAACAGTACAGCTCCACATGAGTGAACAGCGGTTTCGAGCTCGGCATACATATGAATACGGGCGTTGTCCAGCACGACTATTGATCTAGGAAGCGGCCACGGGTTCAAGTGCTTTAATATTGAGCCGATGAAAGCACGATGAAACTTGAGGCGAGTAAAGGTGCCGCGAGCTGTCCTCCAAGGAAAGAAGCCGCGCGCGCCACATGCAGCCACGATAGAGACCCGATTGCCACGAGCAAATGGAGTGCGAACAATAGCTCGTTGGCCTCTTGGAGACCACGCATAACGTCTAGCTGCGTCGAGACCATTCTTCGACGTCTCGTCAACAAATACCAACTGCTCGGGGTAGCTATACCAAGTCCGCATCTTCACCATGAACCCTTTATTTTCCTGCGGAACAGCTTCACGTGCACGTCGCTCGAGTACCTTACGCGACAGCCCTAGCTCAAACCGAAGCATTCGTAGTACACTGGTTGCAGATACACCTTTAACGTTGTGACCAAATCGTTGGCGAAGCTCTTCCTGCAACTCCTCCACGTAGAAGCACGGGTTCCCCGAAACGTAGTCGCTAACAAACGAAAGCATTTCGGCATTATGGCGAGACTTCTTGGGCTGCTTTCCAGGATCGACGTGCCCATTTTGCTTGAATTGTAGATACCACTGGCTCACGGTACGCCCTGACACACCGAAAATCCGCCCGACTTGGTCACAAGGCACGCTGTACGCGTGATGCAGCA